CCTATGCATTGGCTATCTACTACATCTCCTACGTGGTCGGAATTGTTGAAGGTTATCACTGAGATTAGAAGAATGGAGTACCTCACTGCTATACATGCTCACTCTGTCCCTCTTTTTGAATCAATTTGGGAACCGTGGGATTGTTTTTTTTCCGATATCTCTACTCAAATGTCTGATACTGCTGGCTAATTCACTGTTATGCACTGACATTGTATGTACAGTATATGTACTTCATCGATGCGCCTATTTCTTTTTGTTCTTTCATTGATTTGTGACTGTTATTTCACAACTATACACAACTCTTTGTTTGTTGTATGTCCTTTAAAACTCAATAAAAAAGAAATTATTAAAAAAAAAAGAAAAAAATGATTCCAGGTGAAATATCACCTATTTGCGCCAATGCGTTTCTCCTAGGGTTGAAGTTCTGCTGGAAAATTACCAATGTTGCACATCCCTAATTGGAAATGTATTCAAGAAGACTTAAAAAGTTACCAACACTAACTTAAATTGTAATCTAAGTCATACCTACATCCCTATGTTGAAATAAACTTATCTTGACCTTTGAAAGAATTATTAAAACGTTCATCCTTCCACTTCCACTGAATTATTCCGCTCAGTCCAATAATGCCTCCTATATAGTTTCATAACTGCATAGGACAACAGTAGGTTTATGACCAAAATAAACAGTATATACAGTGAAGGAAATAAGTATTTGATCCCCTGCTGATTTTGAATGTTTGCCCACTCACAAAGAAATGATCAGTCTAAAAATCGAATGGTAGGTGTATTGTAACACTGAGAGACAGAATAGCAACAAAAAATTCAAAAGCAATGCATGTCTAACAAACTATGCACTGGCATCAAGAATTATTAAAACGTTCATCCTTCCACTTCCACTGAATTATTCCGCTCAGTCCAATAATGCCTCCTATATAGTTTCATAACTGCATAGGACAACAGTAGGTTTATGACCAAAATAAACAGTATATACAGTGAAGGAAATAAGTATTTGATCCCCTGCTGATTTTGAATGTTTGCCCACTCACAAAGAAATGATCAGTCTAAAAATCGAATGGTAGGTGTATTGTAACACTGAGAGACAGAATAGCAACAAAAAATTCAAAAGCAATGCATGTCTAACAAACTATGCACTGATTTGCATGTTCATGAGGGAAATAAGTATTTGATCCCCTATAATTTAGCAGGATTTTTGTCTACCAGGTGTCTTTCATACAGGTAACAAGCTGAGATTAGAAGCAGTCTCTTAAAGCGAATGCTGATAATCTCATTTTGTTACCTGTATAAAAGACCCCTGTCCACAGGAGCAATCCAAAAATCAGATTCCAAACTTTTCACCATAGCAAAGACCAAAGAGCTGTCCAAGGATGTCAGGGACAAGATGGTAGACCTATACAAGGATGGAGTGGGCTACCAAACTATCGCCAAGCAGCTTGGTGAGAAGGTGACAACAGTTGATGCAATGATTCGCAAATGGAAGAAACACAAAACAACTGTCAGTCTCCCTAGGTCTGGTGCACCATGCAAGATCTCAACTCGCGGACTGTCAATTATCATGAGAACAGTGAGGAATCATCCCAGAACTAAACGTGAGGATCTTTTCAACGATCTCCAGGCAGTTGGGACCACAGTTACCAAGAAAACAATTATTAATACACTACGCCAACAAGCATTGAAATCCTGCAGTGCCCGCAAGGTCCCTCGGCTTAAGAAAGCACATGTCCAGGACCGTCTGAAGTTTGCCACTGAACATCTGAATGATGCAGAGGAGGAATGGTTAAAAGTGTTGTGGTGAGATGAGACCAAAATCGAGCTCTTTGGCATCAACTCAACTCGCTGTGTTTGGAGGAGGAGGAATGCTGCCTATGACCCCAAGAACACCATCCCAACTGTCAACATGGTGGTGGAAACAGTCTGCTTTGGGGGTGTTTTTCTGCTAAGGGGACAGGACAACTGCACCGCATCAAAGTATTTTCTCAGTATAATATAGTATGTATTGTTTTGCAAGACCTTTTGTAAAAGCATCACTCTCCTTTGTTTCTAACTGAAAAAACTTTCTCAAACACCAATGGCAGCATCCAAGGTTTAGGTTCTGTGCTTGCTCAGCAGCAGGATGGGACTGAAAGAGTTATTGACTATGCTAGCAAAAGCTTGCAGCCTACAGTACATAATGCAACTAATTACAGCTTCTTCGGGTTTGAATCGTTATCTGTTATATGGGCCATAACTAAGACATTTGCTGAATACTTGTGTGCAGACTAGTAGCCATTCACACGGACAATAACCCCTTCTCTTACTTAAAAACCATTAATCTGGTGTCCCTTGGACAACAATTGGTGGGATGTCTAGCTTTTTTCAACTATACTTTTCACTATATACCTGGAAAACTGCTCATCAATGTTGATGCCTTCTCATATTATCCAGAATAACAGCCCCAATTGGATGTTGAACAATACTTGGAGGAGGATGATATTGTCCCATCTCAAGTCAACAGTCAAAAAACAAGCACAATGTCAGTTATATAAAGTAGCCAATTTCAGTAAGCTGCCTCTGAGGTACATTCTCACAAGGAAAGAAAGCAGCAGGAGACTTAGTTTTCCAGGACAACTTCAGCTTTCACCAATGCTCCAAATACTACAGAGGCAGTTGGACAAAATCAGGATTCACAAAGGACTTCTATATCAATGGATATGACTCCCTAATGAGAAGTGAGACATTTTTCAACTTGTGAATCTACAGTCAACAGCTATAGGAGTCTGTTTAATATTACATTGGACAAGTGGATATTCCTGTACTAAACACACAAAAACATTAGTTTGGAGGTACTTTTATTGTTCACTTGAGTGCATAAGGTGCATCAGGAATGTTAAACATGTGCATCCACAAAGGAAAAGTGGAACACACCAGTCCCGTCATCAACACTGGGGAACCATTTCAATTAATGAAAAATTGGAATGAAGCCCATACAAGGTGGAATATCAACTGATCTATGATTTTGTGTTTTCACTGCAAACTCCTTATTTTACCTGCTTACCTTACTCCTTACCTGCTTATGCAACTGTGTTTCTTTAAGAGTGCCAAATATGCCTATGTAATGTCAATGCCAAGGAATTCATTCCTTAGGCTTGGTAAAAGTAGGTTGGTGGGGACCAGTGATTTGGGATGCCACTTCTATTCCCAAGGAGCAAAAGTGCCAATGGAGGACTGATGCAGCAATCCTGTGATCACTTTTGCCTGGTCATGTCTGTATTCATAATGAGTATATAATAATCTATGTATTGAAATTTACATGTCAAATGCTATGACTGGTATTTTACTTTTGAAAACGTAACTGTTAATAATCAGAGAAATCCCACTCATGAGAGTTGTACAATGAATAAAAATAAATAACTACATATTTAAACAGTGATCAAATCAATCCCAAATGCTGTGATAAAATCAGGAAACTTTAAAAAAAACCCAGTGTGACGCCATCCACTCACATGCAAGGCTTACTGGAAGGATTGTGACCCCCTGCTAAGAGTGGTCAATCAGCACTCTTTCATATGATATTGGTAACATAATGGATATAAAATGGTCCTCCAAAAACAGCCCCAAAAGAGTGACAGAGAATTGTCTAACCCATATCCTAAATATTGGTTCCAGACCCTTCAATGTGAATCAATAAAGCCAGAATGTGATGTCAGGAACCTGACGAAACGCGTAGGAAAGAGGCACGCACACATGCTACCATGCATGCGGAACTGGCTAGCAGCCATCTTTGATGATGGAAAACACTCCTCTGGCATTTTTTTACATGCGGAATTTATTCCTTATCATGTAAGTGCAATTGTATCCAATACATTTTCTCAACACTGGAAGTTTTACACTATGTGGAGCATTTCTCTGTTGCACTTTACTGCGTGTTCCAGCTTTATTGATTCAGAATCTTCCTTCTTCTACACAGAGTGGGGGGAGAAATTATTATAACACTTTTTCTTACCCAAGCCTCAGAGAAAATGTTGATATTACAGACAGATCTCATAATGCTTCCCATCCTCTATGAGATCTGCCATCTAAACAATTAATCCAAATCTCTAGATTGTGTTTCCAATAAAGCTGACTTCCCAGAGTGCATGACTTCCCCCCCAGAGTATTTGAGTCTCATGTATTTGATGTACTTTGATTTTGCTTTTTTGTTTTCCATTCTGTATTCCAACGATCGGTATTATGTATAGTCAGTGCTCATATAGCACAGCTTACATTGTAGAACAGCTGTGTAAGTAGCCTGGCTTACGTTGGTATTACGATGAAGTCTTCACCATTTTTTTTATACCGTATAACATTTTAAAACTCAATAAAAATTTAAAAAAAAAAACTGACCTCCATTAGGGATTTGACTAGCTTCCCTCTCCTTATATGTAGGACTTTGCCCACGATTGGCAGTGATGTTGGTCCTGGTGGCAAGTTGTGTCTCCGATACATGGCATTCATGATGAATAGATGATACAGGAAATGAATAGGGGCAGGCATAGAGTGCTTATCCATGTGATGTCCATCTTGTATGGGAGCAGAATGACCAAATACTCCAAAGAATCATCAGTTGTTAAGACGCCAGGAGATGATCCATACAGTGCCCAAGGTTGTAAAGCTGCATCTTTGGATTGGTGTAACAAAAAGGTAGGCTTGATAAAATTATTGGTTTGTTGACAATTTTGAGCAATGTATAGTCATTATGCCAAGGCACCCCAGAATGCTATGGCACCCTGATTGAAAAAGGCTGCTATAGACTTTGCATGTTGCTTTGCATATTAATGATCATTTCAGAGCTGAAAATAGGAATGATGCCAACCAGTTGCTTAGGTTTGTAGCTGTAAACATTTCATTATGTAAACAATAAGTGGAAATTGAACCTAGAAAAGAAAATTGTTTGCTAAGGAATTATTCATTAACTACATAAAGGTGGTTCTGAAGAGTATTCTGACATTCTGCTTTCATACAAGATGGACATCACATGGATAAGCACCCTGCTCCTAGCTCTGATCATCTCCTGTATCATCTACTCATCATGGAATGCCATGTATCGGAGACGTAAGCTGCCACCAGGACCAACACCGCTGCCCATTGTGGGAAACGTCCTACAGATAAAGAGAGGGAAACTAGTCCAATCCCTAATGGAGGTCAGTTTTAATGCAAACATAATCTAGATATTTGGATTCATTGTTTAGATGACAGAGCTCTTAGAGGACAGGAGGCATTATGAGATCTGCCTCTATTATAATTTTTTTCTCTGAAGTTGGGTATGAGAAAGTATTACAATAATCATACCAGTTTCTGTGTAGAAGAAAGAAGATTCTGAATCAGTCATAGAAATCTTCCAGTTAGAAAAAGCTCTGCAAGACAAGAGAAGCTAATCCAATGCTTGGGTGTTTGCTATTGATTAGGTGTTCACCCTTATGCTAAGAAACGTTTTTTACAAGCAACTCCTATTCTGCAATTAACATGCAGAAAGTATGAGACCCCTCAGTAAAATTCCCCTTCAGGATCACGCAGACACACTTCTGGGTACATCTGCCATCACCATGTATCCAGAAATGTGATCCAGAAGGGACATTTTCATACAGCTTTGTTCATTATTATCTTTGTGAGTACTTTTAACTTATTTTTAATAAATGTATTAATTGATTTCAAACTATGTGGAGCATCCAGGCTCTATCTTTTCTCTTTCTAACATATGCAGTATGTGATGTTTGGAGAGGACCAAATGTGAGGAGGGTGACTATAGTTTGCTTATTTGGCTATTGGATCTCTTTGTGCTCAGGCTTGTTTGTTGACTGGGAAAGACCATTGCTGACCAGAGGCAGTTCTTGGTTCATGTGTTATATGACTTCTCTATTTCTAGAAAGTCATAATCTTCTTGTAAGCCTTTTTTAATTTCAATGATTTTATTGAAGTTTTGTGGTTGACAAATACAGAGACAAAAAAAATAATAAAAAAGAGGTAAAGAAGGAGAGAAGAAAATGTTTTTTTATAAACATAAGGCACACATCAGTAAAAAAAAAAATGTACTGCTGTTATTAGGATGTACATCAGTTCCATTTGCAAAATGCTGTTAACTATACATTAAGTAAGATAGTATGGAATATAATAAAGCAAAACGAGGTACCATAGGAAAGGGGAATAACCATTCACAATCACTTAAGATGTATATTTATAAACCTGTGAGTACCAATTAATCCAGTAAGACCAGTTGTTCTCTGCGACTTTTAGTCTACCATCAATGGATGCAAACATACGTTCGTAAGTGCCATGGGATTGTATCGAAGTGTTCATTTCAGCTCTAGTTAAGGGGTCAATTGTTTTCCAATGCTGGACTATTACTAGTCTGGTGGCCAACAAAATGTGTGACAAGGCAATGATAGAATGGCAGAAATGTATCTATTTCTGTGTTTAATAATGCAAATTCTGGTGTTAGGACATCCTAATTACCTCAGATAATTGATTTGATATATCTACCCAAAAAGACGATATTTTAGGACAATCCCATAGCACATGAAATAAGTTTCCAATGGCTCCACAGTTTCTCCCAACATAGGGGTGAGACTGCTGGATCTATCTTGTTTGTGAGAGTTGGGTTGATGTAGCAGTGGAGGTTAATCTTATGAGTGAATTCCCAAAGGTTGGTAGAATGGGTAGCTTTGAAATTAGCCTTGAATGCTTCCAACCACTGAGAATCCTCAAATGTACGACCGATGTCTAGTTCCCATCTTTCAACGGGAGAAAGCTTTTTAAAGGTAGTTTTGTCCTGTAGAAGGTTATTGAAAAGTCGAATGCCTTTCAAAATAATAGACTCGTTAAATAGGTATTTCCATACTAGATTGTTTATAGATTTTGGGAATGAGTAGTTGAAGTATTGATATATGGAGAGGTAAGGTAGTCGGAGATAGTCCCAGAGAGCTTTTTGGAGGAAGTAGCGTAAAGTCAAAACTGAGGCAAATAGTGTAAGGGAGATGGTTTTATCTTTACATTTCACCCATGTCACAAAAAGCAACCAAACATATAAGTTGTGTCCCGGGATTCGAAGCGATTTGATATCTTTCCAGAGATTAGTTGTATTTGGTGAGAACCATATTTAACTTTGCGCCAATATCGCTGCATTATAATAATCCCTAAAATCCAACTGATCTGTGTTTCAGCAGTTTTGTGCAGGAGCATCTATCTTTTTGTTTTGCCATAAATACCGGCTTAATAGAGATTGTAGAGAATCGAAATATGACAGCGGAATCGGGATAGGCATTGATCTGAAAAGATATAGCAACTGAAGCGTCTTAAATGCCGCTAACCTCCCTGTCCAGGAGAGCATATATTTTGTAGTCTGTTCAAGTTCCCATGAGAGACTGTGTAGGAAGGGGGTGTAAATAGCTTGAAATAGGGATAATACATTTTTAGTTAATTTTATGCCAAGATAGGCAATAGATTCTTCAGCCCAGACTTAGGGCTATATGGCAGTAAGAGATTTTTTTCTGTAAAGAAGGTAGTCCTAAATTTAAAATAAACAACTCATTTTCATTTACCTTGTAATATGAAACAGCACTAAATTCAGATACTGTGAGTTGCACCAAAGCCAGGGAAGAGGCAAGATTGGTTATCATAAGGATGACATCATCTGCAAAAAGATTTAGTTTATGCTCCTTAGAACCAATAAAGAAACCTGTGATGTTTTTTTTGAGATCTTACTTTTTCTGAAAGTGGCTCCATAAGAAGGTTGAAAATAAGAGGGTAAAGGGGACACCCTTGTCTAGTGCCATTAGTGATATTGAATGCTTTAGATAGCATAGCTGCACAGTACACCTGGGCGGTAGGTTGTTAGTATAATGCCATGATTGCTGAGAAAATATGACTTTGAAAGCCAAATTTGCGCTGGGTCATGACTAGGTACAGTATGTCCAGTGTACTCTATCAAATGCCTTCTCTGCATCTAAAGATAAGAGCAGAGAAGGCATTTTATGAGGAGTGGTGTGATGAATGATGTTAATCATGTGCCGGGTGGCGTCTGAGGTTTGTCGCCCTTTAGTAAAGCCTGATTAATCTGGGTGCATAATAGTTGGGAGGATATCAATCAGACGATTTGCATTTACTTTAGTGTACAATTCAAGATCATGATTCAATAAGATCGGGTGGAAATGTTGAGGAGTATTGAGTTCCTTTCCTGGCTTCGGTAGTGTAATAATGAATGCCTTTAACATTTCATGCGGGAAGAAGGCAGAACAGGCAGCAGCATTGTAAACCCTAGTTAGAGGGTCAGTAATAATATCCTTGAATTGCTTATAGTATTCTCCTATGAAGCCGTCAGGGCCAGGAGATTTATTGTTTGGGAAAGAGTTAATAGCTTTATCTATCTCTGAGTGAGTGAACAGGGAGTTCAAATACTCTAATCGTGAGTCAGGTAAACTTGGAAGCTGCACCGAGCTTAGAAAGGATTGAATGACAGTATAGTCAGGTTGTAGTAATGATGCCTCATCTTTCAGATTATAAAGCACGCTATAATATGCGCTAAAGGCTTCGGCTATTGCTTGTAGGTTGGTTAATCTCTCTTGTGTAATAGGGTGGTGCAGGGGTGGACTGACCATTTGGAAACTCTGGCACTGCCCGAGGGCCCGGGGTCAGTAGGGGGCCACATGAGATGCCCCTGGTACCTTTTTCATAGGCTTTTTTGAGTTTGGGCAAGGACACAGGGGCCCCATGATCCCCTATTGCCCGGGGGCCCCATGAGTTGTCAGTCCGCCCTGGGGTGGTGGAAATAAGGGATATGTGATTTAGTGCGTTAACCTTTAATTTAATTAGCCATAAGTTTCCCTGCTATATGCCCTGAAGTATAACTTTTTTTCAGTCGCTTTCACAGTTCTTCAAACCCTTCTAATAAAAGGGATCGCAGCTCTAGTCTTAGTCTACCTAGCTTGGTCTTAAGGGTAGGCTGGGGTTGTTGTTTATTAAGGGTATCAGTGGTTTGACTTTCTGCTATTAGACTGTCAATGCTCTGCATCCTCCAGTTTTTTACCCTGGCTCCAAGTTGTATGAAAAGACTGCGCATATAGGCTTTATGAGTGGCCCACAATATATATATGGGTCAGAAACCGAGACCTTGTTTATCCGAAAGAACTCCTCCAGGTGTTTCCAAAGATCTTTTGCATAATGGGCAGATTGCAGAAGAAGAGTGTTCAACCGCCAAAGATAAGTAGGATTAGACTTTGGATTATCCTCGATGGTAATTCAGATAGGCGAGTGGTCAGACCAGGTGCTGGGTAGAATTTCAGATTTTGATATTTTTTATAAGCCACTGGTATACTAGGAAAAGATTGATGAGAGAGTAAGAATTATGGCAAGCCGAGAAGAAAGTGTAATCTCTTTCCCCCACATCTCCATACGTCGTGAAGTTGAGATCTTGTGAGAAATGGTCCCACATTAGATTTTCCTCATCTAGTTGAGGTTGAAGAGTCGAGCTGTGGGTCAGGAATTGAGTTGAAGTCTTCGCACCATAGAAGAGATCCTTGCTGTATGGCACTAACCTTCTTATAGAGTTTCCGTAAAAATTGTATCTGGTGGATGTTTGGTGCATACACGTTAACTACTGTATATCTGGAGTTGTTAAAAGGGCATAGAAGAATAAGATACTGGCCATCTTGATCCACAATAATGTCATGTAACTGGAATGAAATTGTATTTTTGATTGCTAAAAGGACTCCCTTCTTTTTCGCTGGAGCGCTTGCCATGAATATGTGAGATAAATTTTTATTGGTACAGGCAGGTTGATGAGACACATGAAAGTGCTTTACCTGTACACATATGATATCACACTGAGAGTCTTTGGCCAATTTCCAAAGAGAAGGTCTTTTCATTGGGTGATTAAGCCCTTTGGCATTTATAGAAAGAACCTTTATGGGCATGTCCTCGATACTTTTCCTGCGCTACTTATATACTACTCATATTTGGCCTTGTTGAAGATGAGGCAGGGGGTTGAGTAAAGATGTTCCATTAGCATAACAGGTTTAGGCCATCAGTTAGTGTGGATACAGCATGTTTTGCACCATTATGTGTAATCAGCAATTTAGCTGGGGCTACCCATTGGTATTGGATCTTGTGATTCCGCATAGCCTTCATTATGGTGTTAAGTAGACTGTGA